TTATGAGAAAAACCAATTGACTTTTACAGAGGGGAAACAAAGCGTCTATTATATGGTGTACCGTAGATTCAGCGACAAGCGGAGAGAAAAAAAATGGCCGGTTTCTCTGTAGCATGCGTTCTGTCCCTTCTCCTCTCTCTCTTTGTGACCTTCCATGGCTCTATCGCTTCTGAGTCCCGCGTTCTATCACAGTTAAACAAGGCAAAGGGATACTACTTGACCGATGAAGAGCACTGGTTCAACCAAACCATTGATCACTTCTCTCCAACTGTTAGCTCTCGCTCTTTTTTTTTCTCTCTCTCTATCTCTCTCGAGCCCAATCTCATTTTGCTGAATTTGGGGTTATTGTAGAATGGGTTTGAAAATTTAGAAGGGACTGGTGAGAAAACGCTAGGTGCATATGGTTTGGGTTTAAAAGTGATGAAGCTCATGTGTACCAGTTCAGTTATTCGTGGTGGAATGAGGAATCTGCAGTTGTTTTTGTTTTGAGAATTGTCATCTGATTCTAGCATTTTATTGTAATTGTTTATGTTGAGCGCTTTTTCCGTTTCTCTCTGTCAGTCTATTCTAATAATGGAACTGAATTCAATTTCCATTAGCTTTTTTAAATGCATTTATAGATATGGGTTTTAAGGGAGACTAAGGAGAATTTCAGAATATATGACAATGCTTCAGTGGTTTCACGGTGATGAATTCCTGTTCAAATATTAGAGGTGCATGCTTAAATGTAGATTTTGCAGGTGTTTTTATATCAGTAATTTGTCAGGTTCTTTCCCTTCAATGTAATTGTTTTGACTAAGGACCTCACCTACTCCCTTTTCAGCTCATGGTTCGTGCTGCGGTGTCTTTTTAGGTTCAGAAGTGAGTAAAATTTGCTATGGTTATCTAGTTGCAAAAGATTTTAAAATCCAAAGGTTTTAAAATTAGTTGGACGAAGTAGTTAAAGTCTCTTCCTTCCCCTCTTCTCCCTGCCCCTCAAATCCTAACCCATCTTTGTTTCAGTCCCAAGTTCTTTTTCCCCCACTTCTCTGGTTCTAGCTTGCTGGCTCAGGCATTAGTTAACGATGTTCTTTCACCTGTTGTTCTTCTCAAACCTCTTGCTTTCTGATTAAAAGGGGTCTTTGATTTATCCAGGTTACCCATAAGTATAGATTATGTGGCACCAGACTCCACTCTTCTTTACCAACTTAGTTTTAAATCACCACTATTCCACCCCAATCCCCTCGATGCATCCACGTACCTGACCTCACCACCACCTAGATAGAAGCTAGGAGATGTTGTGCCATGGGTTCAGAAAGGCTTCCTCTAAGACCTATATTCACCCTTGACATATCCCCTTTCCCGAATTGCCCAACCCCGACCCTTTGTCCAATAAACATCAAAGATGATTTGGCCAAAACCCAGCCTCTTCAAGTCCTAATCAACCATTAAGTCTCCCCACTTGTGATCGTGCCCCTAAGAGGTCACTGAAGCCACCTAGGAAGGACTGGATCACCCAAACTCAAGATCGAGTCTTTCTTTGTGTGGATTTGGATGAAAATGTACTAATGGACAGAGCTGAAGGCAATGTTGATCGTATGCTCTGAGTGATGGGGTTCGAATATGATGGGCAAGCCAATGACATCAGTGACGTATTTAGGAACGTGTGCTTTTGGAGAAGGTGAATCAAAAGGTAAAGCTTGCTAAGAGTTGAAATGCCTCTTTTGCGACTTAAATTATAGGAAGGCCACAACTTCTACCTTTGCCTCCGTGTTCCCTTGTTCTTCCGCCCCAGAAATATTGCCTCCCAGATGTTCCCTTAGGCATTTGGCCTCCTCCCACCTTCTCCCAAGTGAGAGCTTGAGTGTGGAGTATCAGGGGTATGGGTGGCTCAATTAGGAAAAGACTATCCTTTATTTCTCCCATAAATTCAACCATGATATCTTAGTAGTGATAGATAGCAAGTTGAGTCACTCCACTCTTCCTTTATTCTACCAAGTCGGGGCTTGAAAACCCTGCCAATGATGCACTGCTTGCCTAAGGGACCTCTTGAGGGATTTGGGTCATATGGAATGCCTCATTTTTCGTTCTCTTGTCGGCCCACGCAAGTTGCTACTTAGTCTTGGTGGCTCTTGCTAGAGTCCTTGACAATTTGAAGTTCACTACGGCTTATGATGCAAACAGACCAAACCTTAGAGAAGCTAAATGTGATGGAGTTGCTTCCTCTTCCCCTCACCCTGGTTACAGGGTGCGCATGGTCCTTCAAAAGGAATAGGCATGATCATATTATGGTCCTTGGCCCCTTTGTGAGATTTTATTTTCATTGTTTAGGACTAATTTGACTAATCTCCCTTTTTGTGGCTCCTCTTGCACTTGATCCAACTATGTTGGTAGTCTTGGTTGTCTACTATATGGAAACTAGATATGTTCTCAATCTCCCTTGAGCTGAAGAATGTATTTCATGGAGACCATCCAAATGATTCCCCATACTGACCTCGATCATGTCTCAATTATTCTATACTTAGAGCCAGCCCATAGGGGATCCAAACCCTTTAGATTTGAAATGTGGGGGCTTGATGAACTAGTCCTGTATCATCTGATCATGCTTTGGTGGTCCTATTTTGAGGTTTAAAACTGTGCGGTGTAGAGAGAGTGATGCAGGAAGGAAAGGTGGGATATTGAATCCACCTTTTTCCTGAACCTCAAACAAGTAGAAATCAGCAATTATAGAGAAGATGATGACTATATATCAAGCTAAGTAAGAAGAGCTTTCTTCTTTCATAAATAAAAATATTCCAATAACATAAGCCACCCAAAATGTGACATCCAACCACTTTAGGCTATGAAACCTTAAAATTAACTTGAGATCCAAGTAAATATTTAAGACTCTCAAATACCCCTAAATAATATCTAAAATTCCAAAAGTACCCTTGTGAATAGTACCTATGAACAATACCTTTAAATAGTTCTTATGAATAGTAGCCTGTAAATAGTAAAAAAAATATAAAGAAACCTTAGAATAGAAATAGACCCCAAAACTAAAATTAGAATATATATCTTTTGAAATTAAACAAACATGAAAAAGTAGAATAATTTTGTTTTGCATCATTTTTCTCTGGTTGGAGAAAACTTGTCAGTTTTGAAGTGTGCTAAGGTGAATTCAGCATCAAAACCACCTTCTTCAATCTTGTTCTTCTTTGTTGTTGGCTCAAACATTATTCGTGGTAAAAATAATTCTCTCACCCCATAGATTTCGTCATTATCTTAAAGGTCAACCTGGAAATTAGATAAGATATACATATATTAAAATCCTATTCAAAGTAGGACATAGATCTTGTTTCTATTTAAACAAGATTTGAGCCCACTTTCATATTACAAGGAGATTTCTCCCTCTCTCATGCCCAATGATCTCTCTCTCTCTCTCGCCCTCTCTCCCCGCACCTGTTTTCTCTCTCTCTCTCTCTCCTCTCGCACAAACACACACACACACACCTATTTTCTATTTTTATAACTCATGCCAATTAAAAGGGGTCTCTCTCCCTCTTTCCTCCACACACCTATTTTCTCTCTCTCAAAGTAAAAATGCATGACTCCCCTCTCTTTGTCTTGTAGAGAGTCATGCCACCCTCTCTCCTCTTTATGCGTCATGCCACCCAAAAATAAGAGAAAGGAGGTGGTACCATATGAAACTCTAGAGCGAAGGTTCGCTGATTTTTTTTGAAGAAGAGGGGTACAGTGAGGCAAGAGAGAAATAAACACTCAAGCCTTGCCGTAGTTTTTTCTCACTGGGTTTCTACAAACCCTAATAGAATTTTTGAGCACTTATGGCCATGGATGACGCCCATATTCTCGAGTATGAGCACTTGAAGATTGTGAAGGAGATTTGTGAACGATTTGAGACCGATTATGCCTCACCTTCTCTCACTAGGAAAACAATGGCTATGAAACAATATTTAGATGTGAAGATGAAGGAAGGAGGCAAGTTCACGAGAATATACAACAATTAAGTGCTTTAGTTCATGAACTTGAGGCTGCACAGGTTAAGTCGGATGAAAACATGCAAATTTGCTAGTTGTTGAATTCTATGCCGAGCTCATGGGAAAGCTTCATTTCATGCCCTACTGCAAGAGAGAGCATATGCCGAAGTTGGACGAGATCATCACCAAACTTAAAGACGAAGAAGAAAGGAGATTGTGTCGCAATACTTCAGGCTTGAATGACTCCGTAAATCTGGTAAGCCTTAATTTCAACTCTGGTTCATCCAGGAAGAAGAAGGGCAAAGGCAAGAATAAGAACAAACCAATGAGAATCAAAAGGTGAATAATGGGCCTAAGAAGAGGAAGGATTTTAAGAATACCCAATGCTATAATTGCAAGAAATTTGGGCACATTGCGAAGTATTGTAGAGCACCCAAGAATACGAATCTCAAGGGTGATAGGGAGCATGCTTGAGTGGTCCTTGAGATCATGCTAGGACCCTAAAGTGGGGTCATGGTGTTTTGACTATGCATCCACTGCCCATGGATGGGTATGGAATTTTAACCCTATTGCCCTTGGGGATCAGTACATCTATATGGGTGGGAATCAAAAGACTGAAATTCTAGGTATTGGAGACTTCATCCTTCAACTTGAGAGTGGAAAGAGCATGGTCTTAAAGCAAACTCTTTGTGCTCCTAAGATGAGGAAGAGTTTGGTTTCAGTCGCTAAATTGGCTAAGGCAAGCTACTCTACCTGTTTTAGTGGTAATAAGGTGGAAGTGAAATATGGGAATGAACTAGTCATGAATGAACATCTTGTAGATGGTTTCTCTTCAGTTCCAATAAAGAATTCCATTTCTTATGTCTTGTGATATAATGATAACAATGATGATGCATACATATGATACATGAGACTAAGGCACATAAATCCTAAAAGGATGGAGAGATTAAAGAGCGAGGGATTACTACATAATCTAAATGGAGACTTAGCCAGAGTCTGTGAATCATGTGTTCAAGAAAAGCTGGTTGAGAAACCATTTGCGAAAGCTCAGAGAGCTACTGGCATATTAGAGGTTGTCCATAGTGATATTTGTGGACCTATGAATGTGGCCCCTAAGGGCTGCAAAAGTTACTTTATCACCTTTATAGATGCCACTTTTGGCCATGTCTATCTGTTAAGTGATAAGTTTGAAGCTGTAGACCAGTTCAAAGAGTATAAAGCCGAGGTAGAAACCCAAACAAATAAGAAAATTAAAGTCCTTAGATCTGATAGGGGTGGAGAATATTCCTCACGACTATTGAAAGAATTATTTATTATGGTATTATACATCAGTATACTATGCCGTATACTCCTCAACAGAATGGGTAGCTGAGAGACGGACTAAGATCTTGATGGAAGTGGTGAAGAGTATAATAGGACATGCTAAACTCTCCCTTGATTTTTGGGGAGAGGCTATTTTGACAGCCAACTATATCCTTAATTGGACTCCCACAAAAGCTGTCCCACTAACTCCTCATGAGATTTTCACTCGTCGTGCTCTGTCCCTTGATCACCTTAGAGTGTGTGGATACTTTGCCCAGGTCCTAATACCCCATCAAAATAGGATAAAATTAGATTTTAGAACTGTTAAGTCCATCTTCATAGGATACGATCGATACCCTTTTTATGATCCTGACATGAATTCTCATTTCCTTGAGGAAGACTTCCTTGAGGAAGACTTCCTTGAGGGTCGTGCCACTCTGAAACAAGCCGAGTTTTATGAGATAAAAGCGACACAAGTCAGGCCTTGAATCCCCAACCATCTCGTCCTAGGAGAAGTAGCCAAATTAGGATAAAACCTAAGTTCTTCAGCTACTTAGGAGAATATTATGGGAGAATTGAAGAAGAATCCCTACATGAACCCTGTTCATACCAAGAAGCCATAACCTGTCATGAAAAGGCACAATGGGAAGAAGCCATGATCAATGAACTTAACTCGATCAAACAAAATAATGTTTGGAAACTAGTGAAACTACCTGTTGATAGAAAGCCCATAAGTTCAAGTTAATTTATAAGAAGAAATTAAACTCATAAGGGAAATTGGAGAAATACAAAGTCAGATTAGTTGCTAAAGGTTTTACCCAGGAAGAAGGAATAGATTATGATGAGACCTTCTCTCCTAGCAAAATCCCTTCCATTAAGATCCTAATAGCCCTAGCAACCCATTTTGACATTGAACTCCACTATGTTAAGATTGAATTTCTAAATGAGGAGTTAAAAGAAGAAATTTATATGAAACAACCAGAGGGCTTCATAAAATCGGGAAAGGAAAACCTAGTGTGTAACCTTAATAAGTCCCTTTATGGCCTTAAACATGCATCGAGGCAGTGGTTCAGAAGACCTTGTCATCAGCTGGTTTTGTGCCTAACCAGGAGGATTATTGTATATAGGTCAAAGTCGGTGGGAGTGATGTTGTTTTCATCACTTTATATGTGGATGACATGTTAATTGCCAGTAGTTCGATGAGTCTCATATTTGAGACATGATTTCCTTTCACACCATTTTGATATGAAGGATCTTGGAGATGCATCATATGTTTTGGGAATCAAAATTACCCTAAACAGAAAAGATATAACTATTCAATTATCCCAAGAGACATATTGTAAAAAAATTCTTGAAATATTTGAAATGAAAAATTGCCAACCCATATTAACCCCCATTGATAAGAAGACCAAGCTTAGCCTAGCCATGTGTCCCACTACTCTAGAAAAAAATGAAGCCATGAATAGAATTCCATTCAGAAGTGCAGTTGGGTCACTAATGTATGCCATGTAAGGAACAAGACCGGATTTATCTTTGCCATGAGTTTGATTAGCAGGTTCTAGAGTAATCCATGCTTGGAGCACTGGAAGGCCATCAAAAGAGTTTTGCAATATTTGAAGGGAACCGTTAATTACGCTTTCACTTATGGAGGAGGCTCGAATATACAAATACATTCAGATGCGGGCTATTAAGGCGGTCCACATGAGATAAAGTACAAATTATATCTTCATTCTTCCAGGTGGAGCTGTTTCTTGGTGCTCAAAGAAACAGGATGTTGTTGCACTCTTGATTATCGAGTCAAAGTATGTGTCTTGTTGTCTCACGGCTAAAGAAACAGTCTGGTGGAAGAAGTTCCTGAATCAACTCAGATTTGATCCAGTGAAGTGCCTGTATGTTAGAATCTTTTGCGACAACGTTTCACAAGAAATCGAGGAATATAAAGCCGTGCTTCTACCACATTTGCACCGAGATCCAAGCAGGAGAGATTTATATTGCTTATCTCTCGACAGAGGCTATGTTAGCCGATCCCTTGAAAAAAGGATTGGTTGCAAATGTTTTTGCCAAAGATGTACATGGGATGGGCATTAGAGAAATTGAGAGGGAGGAGTGATTGTATGGCCTTCAAAGGCCAAGTGGGAGACATTGGGTTTTGTGGCCTTTAAAGGCATAAAGAGCTTGTAAATATGATATTTTCTAGTAGACTATGCACTTCACTAGGAATGTGTGTGTTGATTGACCAAGGGTTGGGCGGTTTATGGCTTTGGTCATTCCCAAAACCCTTACTCTGGGCATGTGACACTACTGAGAAGGGTTTACAGTGGGTCATCCCTTATTGAGATCGGATAGATGCCGAGGATGATGTTTGTAGGTCAGGAGAACTGTGTGGTCTCCTGTGTATGGTTATAGGCCCGTGAGACCAAAGGCCAAAGCCTCAACAAACTTTTGCATGACATGTACACATAAGAGTCATCTAAAGGGACACGTGTACATGTGCATATAGAGAGCCCCCTTTACACTATGGTGACAAGTGCTAGAGTTGCTCTAAAATCGTGGTTCTACTGCTTATTATCCAACTTTGACAAGCTAATCATGAGCCCCTGCTTTGAGACTATGGGTCATGGGTCTTTGTTAGGTTGGATTAGAAAATAATAGTGGTTCATGGTTCTTGGGGCAAGGGGAGTGTCCTTAATATATTTTATTTTGGTATTAGAAATGTTTTTATGATTTTTACATATTTTTTTAGAAATTTAAAATATTATTTCTCCTGTAATATTCATTAAAAAATGCATTTCAAATTTAAATAAGAGTTGGATATGGGTCAAAATTTTAGGGAATAAGGTTCTTATTTTCCGACCAAAATCATGATGGTGATTTGTGGGATGAATGACTTTGATTAAATCTCTCTCATAGATTTTCTAGTTATCCTAAAGGTCAAGCTGGAAATTAAAAGCACACCTAAATTAGAATCCTATTCAATGTAGGGCATAGATCTTGTTTTTATTAAAACAAGATTTGAGCCCCCTCTCTCGTTACAACAAGATTTCTCCCTCTTATGCCCTATAAGATCTCTTTCTCTCTCTCTCACACACCTATTTTCTCTCTCTCTCTCTCTCTCATGACAATTAAAGTGGTCTCTATCCCTCTTTCCTCCACACACACACACTCTCTCTCTCAAAGTAAAAAATACGTGACTTCCCTCTCTTTGTCTCTCTCCTCTTTATGTGTATCATGTCACCCAAAAGTAAAAGAGAGGAGGTGGTACCATATGAAACCCTAGAGCTAAGGTTTGCTGATTGTTTGAAGAAGAAGAGAGGTACAACCAGCCAAAAGATAAATAAACCCGCAAGCCTTGCCCTAGTTTATTCCTACAGTGTTTCTACAAACCATAGTAGAATTTTGAGCTCTCTAAAACCCTAGATTGAATGGTATTGCCTGAAAAGCTTCCCATCTCAAAATTTTCAATGACACCGAAAGAACTATAAGTGTCATTGGTCAGAGAATTGGGTGTGGGGTGTACCAAGACCATTGATGGTAACTCCATGCATCTTCCAGTAAGTCTTCCCAGTTGATTTAATTGATTTTCAGTAATATATCTTATTTTTCTGTGAATTTTCAGGAATATATATTGTACTAAAATTATAGTGGAAGTTTGTTTAAAGCTCGTGGATAATTTCTGTTTGTTTTGGTAGTGAAAGTAAAGATCCTAGCTTGTATCTAGGGTATTAATTTTGATTTACAACAATATTAGTGGCCCATATAAGTGAAATTCAGGTATATTGAATAAAATAAAAGAAATTTTTTAAATTTAATACCTTGAGTTCCACATAGCCTCTCTTTTCATTTAGTTTCTCTACTCCTTCAACTGATCAGAGCTATGAACGTGGCATTCGAGGCCTTGTTAAGGATTTCTCTAGCTGGTATTTATTCATTCTGTCCTTTTTTGGTTTTTTTCTTATTGTACTAATTCATTATGTTCTTCATGTGAGATATTCAAGTTTCAGTTGGAAAATCTTAGTGTGCATGTACATGGCAGTTGTTACAACTTGGTCACTGTTATGTAGCAGCTATTACCTAATCTCAGACTGTTATCGTGCATTATGTAATGCATCCATGTTATAATCTGTTTGTAATTTTGTATCATTCACTTCTTTTTTCTTGGGTGAAAGTATCATGAACTTTATATTTCTCGATGGTGGTGATGTTGGATTACTTTTTGCCAGGATCACAGAGTCTTTGAGCAGCGATACTATGAATATCTTGATTATTTTCGGGTTCCTGATGGGCCGATCTTTTTGATGATTTGTGGCGAGTCTACATGTAATGGCATAGTGAATGACTATTCCGCGGTATGCACTAAATTCTATATCAATAATGATTGGTCTCTTGGCTTTCTTTTCCTTTTTCTTTCCTTAATGATAAGCTTTTCAACTTCTGATGGAAAACCCGATCCAGTCTTTAATTTGTACATGTATATGAGTTCCAAACTCACGAAAGTCAAAACTCCAGAAATGGGAAAAATAGGCCAAATTTATCTTGAAACTGTATGGGAATCAATAGGTTTACCCACTACATAAGGGGGTCGTTGACTGGCAATGTATAAAGCAGCATTTGGAAACTTGTTTGGATGATGGAATTAGTTAGAATGGTGCATTATTCTGACTTATTATTTATAAAGATGCATTTAAATTGCCATTAAATACTTACTGAGGGACATGAAGGCTATACTAGAAATTAAAATTTATGAAGTTATGAACTATATGCCTTTATGCAAAAGTGTACCTTTCAGGTAACTCATACCTATTTTGATTGTAACTTATTTGTATTTCAACTTTATGAGGGTTAAATTGGTATTCCAGTCTTCTGATTGGTCAGATGAGAATGTCCAACCAGGTCTTGTGTGTACTCTCAGTTGAGATAAAAGAATGCCACTTGGGAAATGGGCAACTCCCATCAATGAACAAAAGGTTAAGTGGTCTTGAGCTTTCATCTTGAACTTGTGTGCAACACAAACTTATTGGCAGAAATCATGTCATGTTCATCTCAGGTAATCTTTTTGTTCACCTACATAAAGTGGAATAAGTGCTTGGCCACGTGGTGAAGCGCTAAGAAACATTTGATGTACTAGGAAGAAACTGGTCTTGAGAAACAAGGAACTGAATTTGTGAAGCTGATCATGAAGTGCATGTTTAAGTCCATAGATTGCAGTTTGCAGATTCATGCAGCTAAAATTTGGCCCATGCGGGGGATCTTGAAGAACCACTCTTGAGTTGCTGCATATACATCTCGTCATAAAGACCTTCATCAATAATTTATTCTTTACAAGAAGCAGATTTGGGAGCCATTGAGAAACAACTTCAAGAACCATGATATTCTAGACTGTGGTAGTTTTGGTAACTGGTGCAAAAATCTCTTTAATAGTCCTACAACATTGCTGTGTAATCCCCTCCTAAGAACAAGATAAGCTGTGTTGCACTGGGAACCATCTGCATGAGATTTCACCATACAAAAATTGCTTGATTATAGTTGTTACAGCAAAGATTAATGCTAGTACTTTGAGGGGGATTGGATAAAGAAAATATGCTAGGGTTTGTTTGATTGTTTCTTGAGGACTTAGATTTCTGTTATGTTTCTGGTTTTTTTGGGAAGATATGTTATCTCTTATAATTTTTCTTTTTGCTATAATAAATGGGCAGAATACAACTTCATGGTTATAAAAGGCAATTTCCCATTCTTGTTGAATGTTACAGGTCCTGGCAAAGAAATTTGGTGCTGCTTTGATTTCTCTCGAGCATCGTTACTATGGGAAAAGTTCTCCTTTCAATGTGTTAACAACAGAAAACTTAAGATTTCTTTCTTCAAAGCAGGCTCTTTTTGACTTGGCAGTTTTCCGTCAGTATTATCAGGTAAATGAGTAGTTCAATGATACAGTTTCTTTACAAAGGACTTTCTTTTGAATAATTTGATTTTGACAGCTTACCTTCAGCCAAAAGGTCTTCATTTTCCATTTCAAAACTGGGTACTTCCGAAAAATTAGAAATTGGTTCTTTGTCTGATTGCTCATGTTGCTATACATTTGAATCCATGCAGGTTTGATTGTTTTTTTTTTTTTAATTTTATTTAATTTTCTTATTTTTATGTGGGTTATATTCGTGCCATTCAGAAAATGATTGCATATTACATTGATTCTTGGAATGCTTCCCCTATTTGAGTTATGGCCTTAAGAGCACAAACTGATGCACAGTTTGGATTATCTGATGCATGAAAGTCGTACATTTATCTCAAGCTTAAGTTATCTGGATCTGTGAGATGCATGCAATTGATTCCAAATACTTAAGATTGTGATAGTATTTGAGAAATGTGTAATGCAAAAAAAAAAAAAATAAAAAGAAAAAGAAAAAAAAGAAACAAAATAAAAAAAAATAAAAATAGTATTTGATAAATATTACTTGTATACCAGTAGCCTTGGTTTGTTTGTTATTCAACAGTTCAATTGTACTGAGTGCACTGGGGACCGAGCACTGTTACACTCAATGGAATAATTTATCTTCTATTTATCCTCCATGCTTTCAAAAGACATTGGCTGTTGACCATATAAATTCATTTTCTTGTATTTTAGGCTTTCAGATCTTAATTCTCAATCTCAGAATATGAACTTCCGCCCCTAGAGGATAGAGTTTAGAAAATTTAAGTGCCTAAATTGGAGATCAACCGAGTTTTAGCCTTTAATGTTCATCTTTCATCCTTCATCCTATAAGTTTCTTATTGGACTGTGGCACCCACCCTGTATCTAGAGAGGCAAATCGACTGTCAAATTTTGGTTAGGTGGAGAAGGCTAGGGATTTTGGAGAGTGTATTCCACAGTTTAGTTATAAGGTGCTTCTTATGTAATAATTTAATAATTTTATAATTATCCTAATTCTTTATGCTTATAGTCTTAATCTGATACATTATAGACCTGTCTCAATCATATTATGGTTTAGGTCGTTCGCCTGTTTTTGTTTTGTTTCTTGTCTTTCTCTTATGTTGTACTCCTTATGGTTGCTGACTTGGCATGTAATTGTCTGCATTCCTGTACTAATAATAAATTTTGGGCCATCTTTCAGGATTCTTTGAATGTGAAGTGGAATCGTTCGAATATTGAAAATCCCTGGTTTGTTTTTGGTGTCTCATACTCAGGAGCATTGAGTGCTTGGTTTCGTTTAAAGTTTCCGCATTTGACATGTGGAAGCCTTGCAAGTTCTGGTGTTGTTCTTTCTATCTTCAACTTCACAGAATTTGACAAGCAGGTTGTTCATTCAACTCCCTGACCTCCTCATATGCACCCAACACTGACGTACCCGCACACACGCCATACATATGCATACTCATTTCACAGCAATTTGCTCTTGAAGCCTGTGTAAGGAAACAAAGAAAAAATGTGAATTACCAAGTCACATGCATGTAAATAGTCACACGCATATATGTGATTGGATGTTTGCAAATTTATTATTGTTCTTGTTTCTTTTTGTTATGTCATTTCCCATGCTTCAACATAAAATCTTCGCTTTTATGTTTTCATCATGTATTGTGACATGATTCTGGATTGTTTAATCTCATTTATGGTGATATAAGGTTCTCTCTGATTTGGATGAAATCTTCGCTTTTATGTTTTCATCATGTATTGTAACATGATTCTGGATTGTTTAATCTCTTTTATGGTGGTATAAGGTTCTCTCTGATTTGGAAATAATATTATGCATGGAAATCATTTATGATCACAGGTTGGGGTTTCGGCTGGCCCTGATTGTAAAGGTGCATTACAAGAAATTACTCGACTAGTGGAGCAACGTCTTCTAGACAATGAAATAGCTGTTAAGTCCTTGTTTGGTGCAGAGAAGGTACCTTTTTCCTGTTGTAGTGTAGTTATGTTTTTCCTAGAAGGTGTGAGTTAATAGCCTTTATTTTAACTGTTTGCAGTTGATTGTACATGCACATTGCATGGGAATGATAACTTCTTTCTGCATTGCTTAGTTATACATGCTTGCATAGGTTTTTATGCCTTTTTGCCATTCATGCACCCAATGATTATATTGAGATGGTAAGGTGCTTGTGCAAATCTTTTGCAATGTAGGCTTTTATAGGTTGCTTTCTACTCATGTATCTCATCAATCATATTCAGACCTTAAAAATTTTGCTGTAACGGTTGACTTTGCTTAATGATAACTGGTAGATACTGTTGTGATCAAATGCCATACTTCATGAGGGGGCTCAACATTGTGTTACTGACCCGTATCTCTTTGTTAAATGCAACAGTTGTTGGAAAGTACCAATGCTCGAAAACTTAGGCAAGTCTGCTTGGACTCGCCACCTCATGCTCGGCACCCTGCTGGGCCTCAAACCTTGCCCTATTTCTTTTTTGGGCGGGGTTATGCATAATAAAATGTACAATATTCTGGCAAGTACTGTATAGACTCGCCCTAGTATTATAAAAGTCGGGCTAGTACTGTGAAAAGCAGTTTATAAGGGGAGTGGGAATCTGCCCTCTTTTTCTTCATTTTTTCGATTTTGGACCATAATGTGATTTGAGCCATTATTGGGGTATAGATTGATTCTTTTACCTGACCCATCCACTAGATATATCAGATTTGAGAAAAAAAAATTCAAATTTTATCGTGTCTAGAGATTATATATTTCAGCCAAAATTTTCCCGATTTCAAGAAGTTGTGATATCTTTGCAACGGATGGTCGATCTTTGATGAAATTGCTTCCTTTAGCCTATTTTGGGTTCTTTATCCAATCATAAGCTTATTTCCTCCAAAGAAATACAAAAATTTTGGAACTTAGAGATTTTAAGTTTTGGATTCACCATTTATCCAAATATTAAAAGAGCTCGGATCTCCCATACCAGAACTCAAAAGCCAAAATTGCCTATGGGCTTTTGATTGGTGTTGTTTGAGGAATTGGAAGCATCAATTTGCATTGAGTGCGGATATCTCGGAACCAGGAGTTTTGCTCAAAATTTTGGGTGAGTACAACAAGTATATGTTACTTTGTATATGCCTCATCTCCAAGTGGATTGCCTTTAACGAAAGAGATCAATGTTGAGGTATTTGTGATGTAAATTTCATGAATAAGGTATTACTATTGACATCGATTTGGTTATGCAGTTTACAAAATGAGGGCTTGGGGCGAGTTATACGTGACATGTAATAATGTCTTGGAAGGTACTAAAGTTTAGGGTGATCGGTCAAGAAGGGGAGAAAGTTTTATGCAGCATGGATGTTTATTAGGAATATGATTTAGAAGGTCAGGAATAGCTTGCTGGTTTTATGACGACAAATATTAGGGCTGGTGATGGGCTAGCCGAGGTTGTACCGGTCCGAGCCTGGCAGCCTAGAGGTCTGGCCCCGGCCCGGGCCTCTCTGTTATGTGGCCGTGCAGGTTTGGGCTCTAGCTTTTGTAGTATATGTTACTAGCAGGTCTGGGCCATGAACTGCCTGGCTTGACGAGAATCTGTACCTGAAAGTTGGCCTGGTTCATGGGCCACATAAAAGGGTGCCCTATTTAAGCTTGGCTGTCCTGCTCATTTCCATCCCTAATGAAAGATGCACTTAGAACTTGTTTTCTTTCATTTGTTTGGTATAGGGAAGTCTTATGTAAGTTGGAGGGCTTATTTTCAAGGCTTGAGGGCTTCAATTGGTTCCACCTCTGGGATTTGTATGAGGGTGAAGCAGTTCTACTTGAGTTGTCTGGCATTATTTATCAGGTTTATGCGAGCAACAGAGGAAACCAGGCAAATAGTTATGTGAATTGGGAAGTTTCGCTCTCACATTTATGAAATTTATGGATTGTAAGCTCTGTGGTCATGTGCAGATGATGCTCCTGACATTAGGTTTTTGAGGAAAGAGCTAATGGATAGAGTTCTCTGTCTTTTTATGGTTGTCATATGAGGATAAAATTCTTAGCATTTATCATCTTTTACATAAGCATATGGTTCTTGCTTATCTAAATTACCCGTTTCTTTTCTGACTCTTGGACATTGTTTTTCCTTTGGTTAATATAAGTTGAATATATCCATTGACAATATGTATTTATCTATTCTGTACCATGGCTCACTTTATTTATTTTGTTTGTGTTGAGACACCACATTGCCTTAATTTTTCTTTTCAATTTTTTGCTTGCCATGAATGTAGTGCAGTGAGTGTCCCCATAATGCATTAAATGGTGTGTTTGCTGCAGCTTGAAAGGAATGATGATTTTTTATACTTGCTTGCAGATGCTGCTGTTACAGCGGTATGTTATCAATCTAAGAGAGCTATTTTTTTTTTTTGTTTGAATAATTGGATTTTTATTCTCTGTCAGTAGATGATTACCTTGTTTCCAAGACATGCAGTTTCAGTATGGCAATCCAGATCAACTATGTGTCCCTCTTGTTGATGCAAAGAAATCAGGAAAAGATTTGGTGGTAGGTATCTTTACGTTAATAAAGATCATTAATTGCTAAGTCTTTAGTGGGTCTGCTTGTGCATTGTGAAACATTGATTTTCAGTTCTTTGCAGTCTGCCATTTCTTCGGTTATAGGCAATGGTGAAACTTAATCTTGATCATTTGGAGTCATGATGATAATAAAGATTAAGTGAGTTGATCTTTTGGACAAACTGAGACTTTTGGTTCCATAATGTCCCATAAAAGATCAGTTTTTGTGGAAGTATAAGCAACAGAATTTCCTTTTCACTCTCTGTTATTTATTTGTTTATTTATTTTGTTGGTGGTTAATATGAGGAACAGATTTTATATAACCTATAGATGAATGTCTTTCAAGGAACTTGCTCTCCAGAAATTACATTTTCTACGTGAATGTTTTAACTTCTCTCATGTGACTAAATATTTCATACCTGCTGGAAATGATGAGTTAGACATAGATCTCCTTAGCCAGATGAGCATAAGTATGCAAGTAAACTTCCTAATCTGTGTAAGGTTTATAAATAATCTGACATAGGTCTCTTCAGCCATTTCAGCATAACTATGCAAGTGATTAAACTTTCTAATCTGTTTAAAGTTCATGAGCAATGACATAAGTAGTTCTTGTGGCTTGGAATGGTACTAGGGAGTAATACTGGCAACTATAAACCGAGAACAGTAACAAGCTGCCCCTTACAACCTCAAGTTGATGAGTGGCATCAAAATATACCCCACCAACAATATAAATTGTGAGATGCCCTGACTTAGAGAGAGATTGGATGAATTTCATTCTTGTCCACTTTGGACATTTCCACCCTTTATCGATCCAGAATCAGAGGTTTAAACAAGTTTTAAAACTTTTTACATATTACAAAAAGGCCTATGTTTGGTACTAGAGCGTTGCTAAAGTGGCTTACAAACCATGCATAGAATATAAGTTGCACATCATGCACATTTAACTAGTGAGTTGATGTCCGGAGTGGCAGCCAATGTTTAGTATTCTTATTGGTGGATTATGCTACTGGCACACCAGACTACTTAAAATGCACAAAGAGAAAAGTTTACCAAAGGAATTTACGGAAAACCTTATTGGATTTAGGTGAGGACAATGCTCATAGATAATATTCCATGAAGATGCACCTAGGGATTGACATGAAGCACTCGCAGGTGAAATGTCTTGCAACTGATTTGCTGATCCATCCTAATGCTTATCTAGGTTGTTCAAGTCTTATTTCTTACACCCCACCAAAATACTGAAGCTGAAACTGTTGGTGTTGTGCACACATCTTGGATTTCATTTTCAATCTCGAAAGATTGTTTGATACGGTAGTCTTATATGTGTGTTCCGACCAAAATTCCTCGAAAATTTGCATGCATTTTGACCTTCAGTTTGGATAATAATGTTATATGTAATCAATGTTCGAAAATTGGCTGCCCGCTTGCCTAGGCGACAAATTTCAAAAAACACCTAGGCACTGTTTGGGTGGTGGAATTATGCGGCCTGTCTCTGGGCGTCCCCCTGCGCTGCCCAAGCGCTGCAGTCTGGGCACCCCGCCTAGGCGCCGCCCAGTGACAGTTTGCGGAAGGGCGAAAAAAACCCTCGGCGAGGGAAAAGAAAAGTTACTTTTGCTCGTGAAAAGGCGGGAAAAGGGTTTTGGGGGAATTCTAAACCTCCAAAACAAAACCGGTGGCTTTTAGGATAAGAAAATCTCTCCAAAAAACTACTCTTGTTGTGATTTGTCGAAAGATCAATAAAGTTTTGATTTTTGTGATTTCCAAAACAAAGGCAATAGTTCGTGGGTGGATTTAGTGCTTCTAGTAGTTGATTTTGAGGATACCCAATAGACGAAGTTTGCACCGACATCGATTTGATTTTGATTTTTTTAAAATATTATCATATTTGAAAGAGGGTTTTGATTTTATTTTGCTACAACATATTATGTTACGAATCATGTGTTTTTTCTTTTTACCTTTCTTTTTTCTTTTACAAGATATTTACATGTTTGGTTAATGACTTGTATTTGTTTTTTTATTTTGCCTTGTTGACTTTGTGTATCGTTTCGAGTCCAGACTTCTAGTTTCCTACAATGATATTTAGGATTTCAAGTATTTTAATGTCTTACAAGTTACTATCTCTTTCAGACTTATATCCATAAATCTGTTATGTGATTGTACTATTACATTTTCTTCTATTTCACGAGGAGTTTGGAGCTCTAAAATTACCCGAAAAATTCCCAAAGACTTAAAACCATTTTTTTTTTGTTTGGGGTAGGGACGACGGGGGGGGGGGTTGAGGTTCAATATTGGTGGGCACCTTGTCTTTTGGGCGGGCATCCGGGCGTCTCGGCGGCCAAACACCCAAAACGCCTGGGCGCCCGAATCTGCAATTTTGAACATACATAATATAAGATTCATCTTTATGTAATTATGATGCATATTCTTGCAATAATCTGGGATGGAGCTCTCGTGTCCCTTCAATACCTTGTATGCATTTATGGAAGTAGGATTGAAGATGACAATCCTCTTGACAAGGAATGGCCCTGCACCGTCCCACATATAGTTTGCATGCTCATTTCCTGATCCAATTGATATGCCTGTTGGATTTAGGGTTAAACTAGGAAGGATGATGGGGTTTACCTTGAACACTAATGCTAATTGTACAAGTCTTCGCTACTTTAGAATATTCATTGTTCACTGGACCTAAATTTTTCCTATGCTAAAACACGTATGTTGTTTTATGCAAGTCCCATGACAACAATGCTTGGAAGCATTAGTTGTGAATTTCACTAAAATTTCTTTTAATCATAATTCCTCTTATCACCCTTCCTCCCCTGAGAACTATGAGGCACCCAATGAGCACCTTCCTTCCTTCTCACCCTTCCTCCTCTTGAGAATCCTCTATAACCTTCTGCACAGCTGCTATCTCTCGCTTCCTCTTCCCTTCCCAATCCCCTCTTCTCGGATGGGACCTCTCTCGTTTCCCCTCCCCTTAATCTCTTACTGATCTTCTTCTCTACTTCTTTCTTACCTGCATATGTCTACCTCCATTAAAGCTTCAGTAGACCAGACCTTAAATTTTCTCTCTTTCTCCTTCTCCTACCCTCTCTCTCCTCTGTCTCTCTCTCTCTGCTCAATTTGCCATCTCTCACTACACACCTTCGTTATTTTGGCTTTATTTTATTTTGTAGTTCATTGTAACTTATTATCTCAGTTTCTTGTACTGAGTACTCGGCCTGTGATAACCCTTAGCTCACATCTTGTGTCTTTTTTGTAACTATCTTATATAAAGGAAAATTTTTATATAAGGTTGGCACCTTAAATTGTAGAATTAAAGTGCACCTCAAAAATCCATCTCAAAAAGGCTATTTTGATGTTGGAAAACCTTCTAATTGATAATCTCGAGATCGAGATGTATAGATATGGGTAAAAAAGAAAAGATTCCGAGTCCCAATAATAATACATCTTGTAACATATTATCTGGACCATCTATTTTCAAGATTTTCATGCATTTATCGATCTGCTTGATTTGCTCCATTTTTGGAGTTTAAAATTTTATAATTAGGGATGAAAATAGATTCTTGGACCATCCTAAAAGTTTTCAACACCAAAATTGCATTTTATGACAAAGTTTAGAGGTGCGCCTTTGATTGTTTAAAGTTGCAACGGTATGCAAACCTCAACCATAGTAATATATAATGGAACTTTCATCAAAACAGTGCTTGGAAGCTGCAAATGTATATTGAGATACCACGGAACCACCATCAATTATAGGCTGTTCTTTTCTTCTTTAGAAGCCAAAATCTTCTTCTTCTGCTGATGCTGATGGAGAGGTGGTTTGGAGCTCAGAAATCTGCTTCTTTTTAATTTTAAATTATAATATTCTTTGATGTCATTCTTGGTATCTGGGGCTGTAGAAACTATCTAGAGCATAGTTGTCCGGTGCGGGTGCGTTCCCGGGTGCAGGAGCTGGCTCTGGTATGCAGAACCGTGGATTGTTGGAAGCTCCTTGTGGTTGGGATCGTCGTCCGTACGAACCTATATCAAGGGATCACGATCCTTGTCACAGGCAAGCACGATTTCTTGAGGAAGAAATCGTAATATTATGTTTTAAGGGTTCGGAAATGATGCGTGGGTTCACATTACCATTGGGCACAAACATGAATCAATACATATGAATCAGTGCCGAATATAGAAAACATCATATGCACTGCGTCATACACTTGAGAACCATGGTTCAAACCTGCTGGGAACGAGGATCACAATATAGGGATCCTCGTTCCGTCCAATATCCCCTAGCTGGAATCGCGCGATTGAGGTTCCGGAGTGGGTCCGTGACCTTTCCTTCAAGGTTCCAGTAACTATAATCTAGAGTTTCTAGATCTAGTGTGGAAGTACCGAATAAATCTATGGAAAAAATAGTTGATAACTTTGTTGAAGTATCTAGTGCAGTTGTTCTAATGATACCTCCCATAATCCTCTACGACCAAAGAAGCACTTCAAAGAGTACTGCAGATCCAATTTTCCTTTCTAGATTGGCACATATTGAGATAGATCAACACTTTGATTGAGCAAAAGGTTCAGACTTAAGAGATCTGCATAAACCATTCCCTACTTCATTGCAGATTGCAGATGTCCTCTCTAAGGTACTACTTGGATAAAATGCAAGTCTCTCATAGGCATGTTGAAATCTTGCCATCATAAGAAGAGAAGGATTAAGATTATGGTTGTACTATGAAGATTACTTTGATGATGATTATGCGGCACCTTAGTCCCATTTTCTTTCTAACTTATGGGCATATTTATCTTATAAGTGTTTTGTATGACCATATATATGTGAAGGATAATGAGCTTTGCCATTCCCAAGGTAACTTTCTTTCATTTGCATGATATTGCGAAAATTTAGTTTAGCTGATACGAAGTTTCTAAATTTGCTTCCAAAATCATTGTTTGTTTTGTGGCCCGGCATGTATTTGTTGTATAATTAATGGGAAATTAAAACATCATTAAGTTTCCTTGTAGGGTCCTGGTTCTTGTTGTATCCTGTGCTAATGGCATGTTCTTTTGAGATGCAGGATGCATATGCGAGCTATGTGAAAAAATATTATATTAATACTCCTGGGCAGCTTGAAACTTATGATCGACGATATTTGGGGAACACAACACTTAGTTCAGATAGTGGTAAGTGTTTTAGTTAGAGCATCCTTATCGCTGAAGTTTAACTGCTCAAGATAGTTTCTTAAGGCTAGATCCCTCTAAATTTTTTAGTTTTCTGTACTGGTTTGAAATTTATTATTTTTTGGTACTTCGACATGGATACCATTTCTATCTCCAATACTTCAAAAAGCATATGTAGAACACCAAAAATGATCTTCCCATGTCCTAAGCTTTAGTAGTATATCACCCAACGCAAATGATTTTAGAAATCTATTGAAGCAGTGTTCAGAGAATGCTGTAGGTTCCTCAGGTTTTTACAAATATGTTGTTAACTTTTACATATTAGTGTTGGTGTTGGACAAGGAAAGAGACTTCAATATTCCTTTCCATTTTTGTTTCTTATTAGAACTTTAGGTCCTCCATTTTAATTTTTGTTTTTTTTTTAATTTCATGAGAGCTGTCAATGTTGCATTGATGATTTGCAAAACTTCTTCAGGTAGTCGTTTGTGGTGGTACCAGGTTTGCACAGAGGTTGCTTATTTTCAGGTGGCACCATCAAATGATAGCATCAGATCTTCAAAGCTTGATGCAAGGCATGTAGTGCACATTGTCATGCTCTTTCTTTTTTCCTTATCTTTAGTCGCTAAACATAACTGCTTATTATTGTTGCTTGGCACATAACTGTTCTAGGCATTTCTAGTGACTAATCTGTCTTCTTTTGTCATTATGGATACCTGTACCTTTCTAAGATGCTCTTATTCCAATATGGTTTCACCAGTTCAAGTTACCTTTGATTTGTTGTGTGAGAATGTTGTGCAATATTTGTAGTGGTTCCATTCATTTTAGTTTACGTAAGTATGAAATTCACATTCTTGTTTTCAAAATGTTCAAATTGCTGATATTGATTTTTGGTCACTTGAAGAATATTTGCACGATATTATGTGAATAAATTTCATTTCTAATGGTTCCATTTAATTTGCTTTTTCTGGATATGTCAACTGAAAGATTCTTATTTTCAAAATTATCATGTTGTTTGCATTAATTTTCTTACTAGTTAGTTATTATGCTTTTGTCATGATTAAAACATCAGCGATTAACTTTGTTTTCCATAGATAGTGCACTATGACCTTGCAATTATCCCCTAAATGAACTTTTGTGTACCTCTCCTTGAGGAACCTATGAGTTATGTTTAGGCTTAAGGAGTTAAATGTGTTAAGCAGTATTTTTGAGAAAATAAATATGTTAATGGGTAGAGAGAGAAAAAGTTAATGGGTAAGAAAAGGATCATCTTTTTTTAGGGAGTTACCTCTCTGGAGTACTATTAAGATCCAAGTTTCTTGGTAAGTGCATTGCAATCATAATCCATCTGATGTATATGCTATATTTACATTGGAAATTGGTTCACGTCAATTTTCGATACCACACCATATGAATGACGTTTGTGTTGCTTGTCTTGTTGTGTGCCTTCAAATGAGGTTTAGCTGGATTAAGTTGCTTATTTGTCTAAATATTATGTTGTTGTTGGAAATTGGTTTGCGTCATTTTCAATACCACACCATATGAATGACGTTTGTGTTATTTGTCTTGTAGTGTGCCTTCAAATGAGGTATAGCTGGATTAAGTTTCTTATTTGTCTAAATATTATGTTTTTGTTTGGAAAATTCCTAATAATGTTTCTCCCGCGTTTTGTTCTCTAGATACCATTTGGACCTTTGCAGAGATGTATTTGGTGAAGATCTATATCCTGATGTTTATTTAACTAACATTTACTATGGGGGAACACGAATTGCGGGTTAGTACTTATCTCACTACTTAAATTTGTTGGTGTGAGTTATTTTCCTAATAGTCAAGACTTCCTCAGGTCTTCATGCCATCTATTTGCGGTGTGGATGTTTCCACACTGCAGGAAGTTTTCAGGAAAAGGTATATAGTCATGACTTTGCAAAATCAACCCCCTTGACCCCAAAAGAAACAAACCATGTGATTATGTTCCACCTGCCTAGGTGTCTCACACTGCTTCTAAACATGTAGAAAATGCATTCAAGTTTGTCTGTGAATTGTATTTCATTAAATCATCACGAATAAAACTTGGGAAATTCCAGTAAACGGTATCTTTGTTATGGATAGTTGAATTTATATAGGCTAAAGAGCACAAAACCATAAACCCGGAAATCGAGGCTCTCCACACTCTCCCCAACCCCTTCAAACCCAAAAAAAGAAAGAGAAGGGGGAATCTCTCTGTGAATTTGATCAGGGGCATTTAATCCTTTCATAGAAGAGAGCAGGGTGAGTCACAGACCACTTTTTTCTTTTGTATTGTGTGATGGTGGCCTCAAGGCAAACCTCTAGGCCATCATGTACATGGGACCAGAAGTCTCATGGTGGCAACCCATGGAAACTATTTATAGTCCCCATGGGAACTCATTCCCTCTCCACCTCTCTCCCCTCTTCCCCTTTCTTTTTTCTTTTGTTTGTAATCACATTTCATTGCACAAAAGGTTATACATCATGCTGCACCACTTTGTCGCATGTATAAACTGAGACATATACCAAGATGTTAACACTAGCATTAGAGAAACAGGAGGCCTCCTTTGCACATAGGGGGTCTAAGTAAGCACACCTTTCCAGCAAGGGCATGAAATTTACTCTTAGCTGTCCTAGAAGTACATTGATGCAGTGATTGAAAACACTGTTTCGGGCTCGGAAGCAGGCAGGGCCTAAGCCCAAGTCAGCCACTTCAGCTCAGCTGAGTATATACAAGACTCAGAGAAGTCCACTTGGCTGGTTCTTGAGGTTTTTCAATGGGACACCGTGCCTTGCGGGGTCTGAGGGACATGGGTGAGTTGGTGAGTTTTCAGATGTTGCATTGAAAGGAGATAGGCTACTTCTACTAATTTTGATAATCAAATCTTCAAATCTCAATTGATGCATGAATTCTTTACTTGCACATCTAATCACATCTAGTGAATTACCTTCAATCACTACTAGACCATGATAGGATGGGTAAAGACTTGCAGGCTGATGGGAGGACCTATGCCTCAGCAGCTATGTCATCCTCCTGGGCCAGTGGGCCAAATTAAGCTAATCCCAGGAATTTTCATCAATTCCTAATGGGGCCTTCCATTCTGGAGGGCCTTAGGTTATTGAATGAACTGTCGTCAAAGTTAAGCTTGAAAATATGACAACTATAAAATTTGATCTCTAAAGCAGCATTTTGTTCTGTGATACAAGACTCTTGTCTACTCCAAGTGTGGGAGAATTTGTTTCTTTGATTTGCGTGCTCCTTGAAGCAGTTACATATGTACTCTGTAAAGGAAGTTTTGGAGAAGCTTTCTGTTTTTCTTTTTATTGTTTTCTTTTATTTCATCCAATGACCAAATTCAAGAGCCATTTTGATCATGATCCAGATTTTCTGAATTACACAAACAGATTCAATAATAATTGCAGAATACTCAGGAACTTTGGATCATTGTTTGCAGAGTTCTTATGGGTTTATTTGCCCTTGTTGCATTGTAGATTGAGTTTTCTTGAGTTTTTCTCTAGTCTAATATTTTATATAATCGTGATATAAGGAAATTTGGTGGCAATTATGTGAGAACAAGAGAATGTGTGGCCTTATATTTTAAAATAAATGTGCAGCATCCAAAATAATCTTCACAAATGGTTCTCAAGATCCATGGCGCCATGCATCCAAGCAGATATCATCTCCAGATAGTAAGTGTCTGCATTGTATCTATCAGTAGTAATGGGGGTGAGGATTTATGAAGTAACCTCCCTTAGAAGTCAGGGTACCCCTTAATTCAGATTTGATTTGGAAGAAATGATAATGAATGCGTTTCAGTGGATGTTTTTGTTCTAGCAATTAATGTAGGTTCATGTCACGTTTCAGTTATTCGTATTTAATCATGTTCACATTGCTTATTGTTTCCAGTGCCTTCATGCATTATTTCATGTCATAATTGCGGCCATGGAAGTGACATGAGAGGATGCCCCCAGTCTCCTTTGAACCTTGAAGGTAGTACCTCCCTTTTGCTTTCTATTTTTCTGTTAATTCCATTCTATTTGTTGCTTTTGATTTACCTGGAAACTAAATGTAGTAGAATCTATTATATTGATCGAATGAAAAGGAAATTATCTATGATGTCTGATTTGAGAGTGAGTGCAGATGTAGATTGTTTAGATACATTCATATAAGTCATCCATGATCCAGATAATAGTTATAAGCAAAGACAAGATTTTCTTCTCTCTAAAAACACCTTTTTTGTTATTTGGTAAGTCTTAGCCATAAAAGCTGTTAAAGTTGATAACTGTCGTTTCTTGGTAGTACATACTCAATTATTGAAATGGCAAATTTCATATGCTTTCTGGCATTCAACTTATGGGTAGGATTATAAGATCGTGAAGAATGTCTATATGCATTATGATGTGATATTATATTAATATCCCAGGTATCTCAGGATGGATTAATGAGACCCACAATTCAACTCCATGTCATTGCTTAACAAAATGAATAGTTAGGTTACTTGATGCAATAGTGATATTGATATCTCCTTCCCTTAAACTCTAAAGTTTCTCTTGCACTTGTGTCCTTGAAATAATTGAATATCTCACATTAGACTTCAAAGCTAAAATATATGTTCTTGATGGCTTTGGATCTCCAATTGCTCCATTCCTTTCTCCTTCCCCATAAGAACAGTTAGAATGTTCATTATCATTATCGTCCGAGCTTTTTCCCAACTATTTGGGGTCGACTATGCGAATCCCATTCCGCCATTCCTCTCTATCACGGCTATACCCTCATTGTGACTATAAATCAATATATCTCTTCTCATTACTTCCATCTATATCCAAACCATAGAGAGATTTATGTCCTGAAAATTTCTGAGAACAGTTAGAATGTTCATTTTTTATTATTAGATTGTGTGACTTATTGCAGGAAGGTGAAAGATGGTAAACTAGCTACTGGTGGGATGACCATCTCTGCATAGGATGAGAGAATGATTTAATAACCCTAAATCCCTAAAACCTAAACCCTATATCTTGAACCTTTGGGATTTAGGGGTTAGTCATTTCCTCCCTCAGCCTGGGTGTCCCTTGATATCAGAGCCAGCACTGGCTTTGGATCTACCTAATTCTGGAGGCAGAGGTTACTAGGGTGTCTCTTTGGGCCTTTGGTGTAGTGTTGTCCTTCCGCTAGTTGACATACCTCCATGGGAAGACAAGTCGGGCTCGATCAGTAACATTCTCATATCTTCATCTGCTATCTTGTATAGAGTCACTCGTAGGACGTCTGTTGCTGGCAAAAGTGGCTAACGAAGACTATATCCAATTCTTTTCCTTCTTGGCTATCAAGTACTGATGCCGGGAGCAGGATGAGGAGGATGAAACCTCTCAGGGTCCAATCTCTATGATTCCTTCAAAAATATGGGCCCTGAGAAACCAAGAAAATTTGGAGAAATAAAGGCCAGAGATGTATACAAGCCCAAGGGATGTTACAGGCTTTTGGCCTAAGATTAGTAGAAAATGTCGAAGTCGGGAAAGGGGTATCCAAGCTATTGGTAACTCAGAGCAGTTCTCTATCTCCCTCTCAAACCTAAGAAACTATGCCACTTTTGGGATACGGGAATGAGGTTTGTCCTCTTAGGAAAGCTAGAGGTGGTGATAGCTCCTCTAGCATGAGACAATCTCATTACCTTGGTCTTGGTCTTGGTCTGTGTCCTTGATAGCCCCCATATGATGTTTGATACTGCACTCCTTGAAGCTGTAGACGCATCCATGGCCCGAGGGTGGATTAGGTTCTTTATATCCCCCAACTTCAACTTCTCGCTTCAGGATCAACATTTGAATCAGTTTCTCCACCTACAAATGAGGTCCCATGGATTCAATATACAGGAAGGATCGGTGAATATAGTGGTCACCTGGAAGGTGTGCTACAGGGCGGTGAACGATTGCACATCAGTTATCAATAAACCTGCAATATTCAGAGGAGTATACATAAAGGAAGATGTCGAGGGGAATATGACTGTTCCTCAAAAGATAAAGCCCCTTGAAGTTAGGATTCCAAAATCATGTATGTTAGATCATTAGACAGCAAAGGTGGTGGAGGTCCTCGAGGGAGCATATCAGGGGAAAACTCAGGCTGGCTCATCCTCGAATTCGGCTCCTGATCCCCTTCGGCCATAACATACTTCCCTAGAAAAGTGAGCTAGTATGATGGTTAGACAAGGGTGAGGCTATCCTAACAAAAGACAGTTCAATTCCTATCCCGAAGGTGTAAGGAGATGGGAAGCCTTCGTTGTTGCAGGGCTATCATTGCATATCATGAGAAATACCTCTACAACCCTCATAAAGTGTGGTAGCTAAAGGACTATAGTGAGGATGGGAAATCTTGCCTAAGAAGCACCTGGATAAAAGCTCTAGGGGCGGGCGATAGATATCTCTTCTGGACCTTGTCGACGATAAAAGAATGGCAGTGGTAACTAGGTCTGCTTGGACCTGTGCAAGAGGAAATGAACTGGAATCCTTGATTTTTCCCCCATTTGAGCCGTTAAGATTAAATAGAGAGGAGAAGAGATGAGTAGTCCCCCTATTTTGTATGGAAGGGATCAAGAAGGAATTTCAAGACCAAGTTCATTGGCAGCTGAACTAGACCAAAACAACGCTTAATGACGCGAATCTCAAACTAGATGATCTTAGACGACAAGTTGAGAGAATCCTTCACAGTTGAAGGCATGAACTGCTCTCTGCCTCTAAAGGAGATACCCCTCAATAGAGTACCACTCCACCTGCAACTGAACTCCAACGGTGGTTGGTCGGACAAAGTAAGCTGAAAACTAAGTCCTAGCTCATCGTTGGGGTGGGGACTAGGATCAGAGGGGGATATGAGGTGATCATAGGTCTCTTGTTCCTTGTTGCACTACATATAATGCTATGAATGACTGACAGTGGGAAGGCCAACAGTTAGAGGATACGTCCAACTATTTCGGAAATACAGAGAGTTCACTCTCTGAAAAGGCCTTCCAAGCCTTCCAAAAGAAGGCTCCACAAACCTATGCCCTCAGATCTCACCTTTGGGGACCCCTTCTGGTTTCAACGAGGATTCAATCACCGCACCATTTATTTGTGGTGCATAGACGGGCAAGACGAGCTATAGATCATGAAAGTACTCAACCTAATGATTGTGCCGCGAATGCGCACATAACAGGAGGGAGATCCCAATCGGAGGCCATGAATATACTTATTCAGGGATTCGTGGGAACTCAGGGATTCGTGGGAACTGAGGCATTGGTGGGATCAATTCGATGAATGCAGAAAGAGGAAATCAGAGACAACATCAGATTGGTGTGTACGGTCTTCCATTGCTCGACTTGCTTGGGCAACAAATCCTGAACGCTATTGAGAGTCATCTGATGATTATACAAGCTCATTTATGTGGACCAATGCAGAATATAGAAAGCTTTCAAAGGAATGTCGTACTAGCATTAAAGGTTAGCTCCCTTGTTGAGCTCAGCTAGTCCCTAAATACCTTCAGATTGAGGGTGCATATACTCAGTGACCACCAAAAGGTATTTTACACAGAGTTGATGTTGGCTGGCCTCCCAGGTTCGGTAGGGCCGATAGTGCGAAAGGAGTTTGAAGGGAAAGTTGTGGGTGATGTAACATATGTGAGGGTAAGGGGATCGATAAAAAAGACCCTAGAAAAATAGTGCCTCGTAATGAATGCTATCCAGGAGTGAAAGAATGATTCATGGGTCAGGCGAGATATCTGTGAGGAGTTGGGTTGCCTTATTATCTGGACCCAAAGAAACACTAACGCCTACGTCATCTTAGACATCATTATCATCGCCAACCAAGGCTCGTACAAAGAGAGACACAGGTTACTCAACCCCATTGAAAGGAGTTCCACAAAAGAAACAAGCAGTTCAATTGCATTAACTGCAGCCAGCAAGGCAATTATAAAATGGATGGCAAAGTAAAGAAAAGATTGGGAGCTAATAGGAGGACAAAGTCAAAGGAGAAAAGTAACTCGAACTTCTCAAGATTTCAGATTAAATGACCTTGCCATTGTTTAGGGGACTCAGGGTCAGACTAGGAAAGAAGCTCCTCATGAGTGACGACTATTCAGTCATGAGACGATAAGAGAATGCTCCAGCCATCTAGAGCGACCATTTTGATGTTCAATTCTGTACTTTAAATACTTTGAGACCAATTATATTCTCTTGGCAAAATCACTAGTTTCAGCTCAATCACCACGAAAAGATTGCTCCACATATATGGGGAGCAAGATGTAGAGTTGTTAACTTGGAATGGTGGAAAGAGGGCACATCAAATAAAAGTGGACTTATGGGACAAGGAGACTTGACTATTCCACATCCCAATGATATCACTGAGTTGAGACAAGGAGAAGAAGGTTGTGCTCTCAGAGCACTTCGTGTTGTCAAAGTCCATTAACAAGCTAGCAAAGCTCGGGCAAGTTACTCCAACGGTGCCAATGTTAGAGGAGTTACATGCCGAATTAAAGCAGCCCGGTTCATATGCCAAATCTTTGAATAATCATATCAAGGCTATGGAACTAAAGCAGACTATGTGGCAATGGAAAGATGAAGAATGGGGAGAAAGTACCCGAGCTATGTTGAGTCTCTTTACTTCTAGATTCCTTAGAAAGAGATGAAATCGGTAATGTGTTTATTAGCAAAATGACTCATCATGCCCAGAATGGATAATCCATCTATTAGTGAAATTCAACAATGCATCCACAGGGGACTTTTCACCAATTTTGAATTAGGGTTCGATTTCAGCTCAGAGCTAAATGAAAGTATCTCTCCTTTTCTAAAGTTGTTCCTAGCATTGCTCTAGGCTTTGTGTGAGTGAGAGTTTTCTGTTGACCTTGGATGTCTTCATTATCATTTATATCATACACTAATGGCTATTGAAATTAAACCTGGAACCTTCAGTCTTCCTGAACATGTGGGGATACAAATTACTCCATTAAAATTGAATTAGTCCAATTATTGT